CTGGCCTGGATTAGCTCTACAAAATAGAAAACAGCCTCCACAGCCACTTAAAGACGGGTCTGGGCTAACTTGAATTGAATGTAGTGATGGTGTGCGGTGAGTGAAGGGAGACATCCCAAGCTGAATCTCACCCTCATCTCTGTGGAATTCCCTGTGAATGGTGTAAAATAAACTGACTTCTCTTTAAATAGATGATGAAGAGGTGGAACTCTGTTTAGTGGGTCAGCTCATGTGCAAGTGAACATGTGGCTATATGGATCAGGAGGTGGTCTGTCTTTGCAGGGGCGGCCAGTAACTGGGCCATCTGCTCAGGATTAAAAAACAAACCCTTGGCCGGGCGCGGTGGCTCAAGCCTGTAATCCCAGCACTTAGGGAGGCCGAGATGGGCAGATCATGAGGTCAGGAGATTGAGACCATCCTGGCTAACACAGTGAAACCCGTGTCTACTAAAAAAAAAAAATACAAAAAGCTAGCCGGGCGACGTGGTGAGTGCCTGTAGTCCCAGCTACTCGGGAGGCTGAGGCAGGAGAATGGCGTAAACCCAGGAGGCAGAGCTTGCAGTGAGCTGAGATCTGGCCACTGCACTCCAGCCTGGGCGACAGAGCGAGACTCTGTCTCAAAAAAAAAAAAAAAAAACCCTTTTCTCAGGAGCTTTGGTCTAAGGCATCTGCTAAAAACTTTGGAAACTGTCAATAGAGATGGCTTGGTCTTCAAAATATAGTCTCAAAACTTTGCTTGTCCGAACTTGGGAGGAACATATTGTGCAAATAATCAAAATGTGATGCTTGCCCTCTTGGAAATTGTGGTTCCTGATATAACACTGTCTTTGTGTTATATGTGTTGGAATATTGACAGTCAGTCTTACCAGCTTTTCATTAAGCTTGTTACATATGACCTCATCATATTTCTGAGCCCCTGATTTGACCAACAATATGGCCACATCAATGAAATCAATAACATTGTGAAAATGGAGTTCAACTGTAGCATCAGGAAAGATTACTTTGATTAGTTAACATTATCGAAAAATCCTCACCAACTTTGTAATTATTTTCCACTCACGTAAACTACTTGATTGATTTTTCTTTTTTAAGTATTTTATAGAGATGGGTTTTTGCCATGTTGCCCATGCTGGTCTCAAACTCCTAGGCTCAAGCAATCCTCCTACCTTGGCCTCCCAAAGTTCTGAGATTATAGGTGTGAGCCTCTGCACCCAGCTTGATTTGAATTTTTAAAGGCCATACGTTATTTTCCAAAGTAATTCTAAGGCATTAACATTTTAAGGAATAAAATAGAATAGGAAATAGTTAAGACTATAAAAATATCTATACACATATATATTCTTATAGAATAACAAGGCTAGGAAACTTCTTGTTTTCAGTTAATTTTGTTTGTCTGCATTTTGTTAGTCTTAGTTTAATAATGCTTTATTATAACACTGAATAACTTAATGTAAAATTTCAACTGCATAGGGAAGTAATGAAATTTTTAAAAATAACAATGGTGTTACTAATAATGATTTTTTAGATTTTATCTCCAGAAAAATGTACTGTTAAAAATGTAGGACAAAAATCCCCACATTTTTTAGTAGTGTCAACCAATTTTTCTGAAATGATTTTTTACTTTTAACCAAATAAAGGTAGTTGACAGGATGATATCATTTGCTCTTTTTACTGACAGTCAGTAAATTCTATGACAATTAGCAGCAACAGCAATGACTACATAGGTAACTGTGGTAACAGCAAGGGGTTGCAACAGTAAAAGATTTCTGAGATCTTTTACTCTGAGGATTGTTGATGTAGACTTTCCAAATTAAAAGAGGAGCTCTCATTGTCCAGACTGTAGGTAAGACTGTAAAAATATCTATACACATATATTCTTATAGAATAACAAAGCAAGGAAACTTTGGGATGAAAAATAAAAAATTAACTCACTCATCCAAATGTTGGCCACCATTACCTCAAACATCAGGGTATGTAAAGACATCTTGTGAAATGACTGAATTCTCAAGTTTACATCTACGTCATTGAGATCTTACTATCCTAGTGTTTTTACCTAATAGTAAAACACTATCAGGTAATAGTGTTGGTGCGTAGTGTGGTGTACCCTGGATACCTGTGTTGAACACAGAATAGATACGTAAACATATCTGTATATATTTTAACATATATGTCATGTAGTACATATAACATATATTACAATTAATGTGTTGAACTTAAGATATAAGTGAAATTGATGAACATAACTATACCTCATCTTCCAAATAGAAAATGAAAAAAAAAGTCTACTCTTTTTCCTCAGGGATATATTGTAAAAATAGGTTTTCAGCAAAACAAAGTAGACTCTGGAGGCAGAAGTCTGGTGCTGCAAGCTGGTGTTACTCTTTTTTAGCATTAACTTCACTTTTTATCAAATTTAAATAAAACTCTGAATTTGAGATAGGGGGCTTTTGTGATATTTAAAATTTTTTGAAATGGTTTAGTAGTCCTTTGTTGGTAGTAAGTGTTGGATGAATGATTGAATGAAGAATGACCAAATTAATGAATGGACAAGTAGGTTTTGGAGTTGTCACCCTATGGGGTTGGGTTCTAGTTGATTGCCAACTATGTGTTTCAGTTTTATAGAAATACCTCCACTGCTGGTTTTCCTCTGGTTTAGTCTCAACAAACAGTACAAGCTCGGGAGGGATATTTGCTGGGATTTAGCTGAAACACAGAAGCAATCAAGTGGTTGAATTCTGCATTTTAAAAATTGAATGACATTCCTTTATCCATATTGATTTGAGCTTTGGTAAATTCAATTGTTGATACCACCTGGATAATTTTAAATCTTTCTGAAGCTTTAAAAAAAAGTTTCCAACATAGCTCCAGCAACATAAGAATTTCATCAATTGAAAACTAAGAATCATTTCTGTGGGATGTGTAAAACAAGAAGCTGACCAGCATTATTTTCTTTTTCTTTAATTCAGTATCATTATTGAGAGTTATTCTTGAACTTTATGAAAACCAGATTGGGGCATGAGCGTGTTCTCCATTGAATCATGTTCAAGGAATTGAAACTGAAAATCATTCAAAGTAGGGAAACATGACATTGAAAAATAGTCTACATTCTTTATTCTCCCTCAGAGTATCTGAGGCTGTTTCTAACTAAGAAGCCTTAGGCTGATAGGAAATCTGGGTTTGGTTTCTTGTTTTTTGTCTTGTTCTGTTTTATTGTAATAGATGTTTAGTTTACTAGTCAAAAAGAGGTCTTAGGTTTTTGTTTGGGGTTTTTTTGTTACTACTTAGCTGGTGTATCAGTTATGACCTTGGATCCTCTTACTCATTTGCTCCAAAAGTTGTGATTTCTCACCATTGTCCACAGAAAAAATTCCAAATAATCTCATTCAAGGCTTTCTGCTGTCTAGCCCAGGCAATCTCTTAGCCACACTTCTTACGATTTGATTCTTCCATGCAAGTCCCCTCCCAGTCAAAACAGACTATGAGCTGCTCACAAGTCTCGTTTTGCTGCCTCTAGTCCTTTTCCTTCATTATTCTATCCTTCAGGAATGCCTGTTACTTCTCTCCAGTCTTTGAATGTTCCTTGTATACTTCAAGGTGTGATTCATCCTCTTCCATGAGGTCTTTCCAACCATCTCACCGTTTCCAGCCTCCTCTCCCCCTCCCTAACTAAAACAAATCTTCTCCTTCCGTCTATCCCCCTCACACACAGAGACACACACACACACTCCACATGCTCCTACAATTTAGTCATAGCATGTATCACATTCAAGGCTGCTACTTGGGTGTGCACGTTGTGCTCTGCACAAGAACGTCAAGCCGAAGGGACACGTGGGGATGAAAATCCTCTTACTCTCCATTTGCCAAGGCGTGCACCTGCCCATATGACTGTGTTTCTGCAGAGGATACCTTTTTCTGTTTTCCACAAAGGCACCATATGGACTAGCAGCCCATCCGTTCATCTGCATCCATGTTTTTTAGTTCCCTTTCCCAGAGCACAAATTTGCTGAGGGCAATGACCACCCTTTTATTCCTACCATTCCTGGTAAAATGCCTTCTTTACACATGGTAAGTTCTCAGTGACTTCATTTAATTTAATTAAGGCATGAAATGTATTGACTAAAAACAATTACTTTAGCTTATAAATGCAAATATGAAAAGTACTGTAGGAATCAAAATGGACTTAGCAGATGTGGAACAGTAACTTGTCTGACTTTAAGTGCATTATGGTTCTATGTCAGCTAAGTAATTTCCTACAAAATGTGGTGCCCAGTAGTCTTTTGTGGGGCTTCAGAAACCACATTTGTGACAGACCATAACAGACCATGGCAGAGCTGGACTGAAATCCATTTCTGGTTGTTTGTTAAAATAGGCAAGGAATAACATTAATAATTTTCTGCAGTGGGCAGAATTAAGGTCAGGAAGAATGCCCATGGGAGGTGAGGGAATTTTGGGAGGAGTCGGTTGGATCAGTCTGAGGTCAGTATACTTCCTGGAAGTCTACATTAAGGCAAAAACAAAACGAAGACCTCATCTTAAAGCCCTTGAAGCTAGAATGACTCTGCCTTTACCAACACTGCAAATTGTGTAACTTGACGTGGCCATGCTCTCAAAGTAAATAATTGCTTCGTAAAGGCTTTAGTGGAGACTTAATATTAGTTCTGTTGCAATTTTATGTGACAAATGGGAAATGTCCATAAAGCAAGCTTTACAGACCACAAAACAATGATGTACTTAAGATAGGTTTTATGCCTATTTAATAAAATGGACAGGACTTCAAATTTCAGATAGCAAGGAGTAACCATTGGTCTGCCTCTCCAAGAAAGTCCCGTGCCTATGTACAAAATTTCTTAGTAACTATGCACTTTTACAGTCCCAGCTTTAAATTGCTTTTTGTTTTCCAGGATGTATTGAGTTTATGTGATGAACTGTTTTCAGGAAGAAACAAGCCATCTACAACCATTTCACAGTGCATCTCTTTCTCTCTCTCCTTTTCCCTGACAGTCCTCTGTGATGTCAGTCTGCTTTGCCCGTTTCCATCCTAACTTGGTGGTTGGTGGGACTTACTCGGGCCAGATTGTTCTCTGGGACAATCGCAGTCATCGAAGGACTCCGGTGCAGCGGACACCCTTATCAGCTGCTGCACACACGGTAATGCAAATTTTTGCCATATCCCTGTGAGCCACCAGGCCTTGAAAGAGAAAATAACTCTACTCAGAAAGTATGGATGTTTTCAGTAATGCCAAGTTGGGAGGATCTACTTTATTATGATTGAATCCTGACCAACTAAAAGTTAAGTGAAAAGTAGATGAAGGAATCACTGGCTTTAGGTATGTCTCTTAATAACGTACATGTGTTAGGATGTGGAGGATCTCCTTGGCTCTCCCAAAGGCCACCAGTGAAGAGAAACCTTGGACGAGGCATCTGTGGAATTGTTTTCCCAAAGAAACCCTATGCATTTACATTATAAGGTGGAAACATGTATTTTCAAATAGATCCTGAAGAGTAAGGATTTCACGTCAAGGGATGATATACAGGACTTTTGCCAACAGGCCTTTTCCATTTGAGTGAGATTTGAGCGAGTACTTTGACTTTAAATTCTGGAATGTGTAGTGTAAGTCTCAACATAAAGTCTACAGTGACAATATAATCCTTGGGGTTAAAAGTCAACATCTCAAAACCATTACCCATAATTTAGTAGAAGAGGTTCAGTATAAGTGTTCATAAGACAACTACTCTGTCATTTCCTTTAAGAGAATGACAGGTGTGTACAGCAATTGTTCAGAGGAATGAGAAGACAGGCGTGTCTCCATCAATCCTTGCTACCTTGACACTCAGGGTAACTGATGTTCTTTCTCTGAAATGCCCAAATTATGCCCAAGGATACAGCTCTACTCTTGTTTTCAATTTCCTTAATGTGCTTGCTGCATTTGTTTCATATGCTGGCCTCAAAAGCACTCTGGCATGAAAAAGGACTGCCAGCTGTTTAGCTAAGTCCATGAGGAGGAAAATTCTCCCACTCTTGTAAGATTATCAATGGGAAATGACAAATACCAAGTCAGCCCCAATTCTGATTGACTGGGGCCAAAGACACATGCATGTGAAACTAGTTCTTGGGAATCTTGGGAAATTGCTCTTGTCTACCCCATTTCCCCCAACTAATAACAGAAAATTGTGGTCCAGGAGAAGGTAGGCTTGATGCAGGTGTTTGGCAAAGTACTGTGAAACCATGTCTTGGCCCTGTTTGGATGGCTGGTGTGTTTCTGAACGTACCTTCTGAAATTTCCGAAGTTGTAAATCCAAATGTTAAAACATTTAGCAGTAAGGTTTTGGGGAAAATTCAAACCCAGGAACTCTTCCAAAGAATTAACATTTCTTTTGCAAGTAACTCAGAGTGTGATCATCACAACTAAAATACTATTATTATCAAACTTACTGATGTTATTTCCGTTAGAAAATAAAATAAGCCAGGCATGGTGGCTCACACTTCTACTGCCAGCATTTTGGGAGGCCGAGATTTGAGGCCAGGGGTTCGAGATCAAGCTGGCCAACATGGAGAAACACTGTCTCTACTAAAAATACAAAAAGTAGCTGGGTGTGGTGGTGCACGCCTGTAATCCCTGCTTCTTGGGAGGCTGAGGCATAAGAATCGCTTGAAACCGGGAGGCAGAGGTGGCAGTGAGCCAAGATTGTACCACTGCACTGCAGGCTGGGTGACAGAGGGAGATTTCCTCTAAAAAAAAAAAAGAAAGAAAGAAACAAAACTTGTCCACCTTTCTCTTTTGCTGTGTGTTTTTGTTGTTGTTGTTGTTTTGGGGTTTTTTGTTTGTTTGTTTTTTCTAATCTATAGCTAAAAGTGAGCAGTTAATTTTGTGACTGTCTTTCAACTTTCACTATTGGCCGGCTGATTGGTACCAGGATCAAAAAGGAAAAAGAGGCCCACCACAGATTACTCACTAATTTCCTTTCACACCCACCACACATATGCATATGGGACAACAGGAAATCATAAGTAAAACAAAATCCTTCAGGCACACAGTAAGTTTATTTCCAAAATAAATAAAAACAATCTGGCATCTATACTGGAAAAATTAGGTGTACTGTAGCTTTTTTCTTCCTTAATGGTAGAGTTGTGTGTGTGTGTGTGTGTGTGTGTGTGTGTGTGTGTAAGCATGCCCCAGTGTCTGCTTCTGTTTTGGTTTCATTACACCTCTTTTTTCTTTTAAACTGAGTTTTATTACTCATGGAAGCACAGGCCAGTACTGCTGATTAAAGCCTTGGAGGGGCTGCCACACACGCTCTTTCTCCGGGCCCCTGGCTCTATTATTCTTCTAGACTTGCTTTCTTTCTCTGCTGGACCTTTCTGAGTCTTAATCTGTTAGTGTTTAATGATTTGTGTTGATGCTCAGTGGTTATCAAAGAAGCCCCACTGGACTCTTGTTGAAAAACAAGATGGATTTCAGTTTCGTAACAGTATTTGGACCCTGCCTTCCCATTCTTCAGTTTTACTAAGTCTATACCATTTTCAGGTGAAAATTTGTTACATCCAATCTTCCATTGGATTTCCACACAGAGGTTGGCATGCTATGTGGCTCTGGTCTTGATAATACACCGCCTCGGGCTCTACATGCACTAGAGACTTGGGAAAGAGCATTGCCTGCAATCCCACAACCAGTCAGCCCTCCTGATACTTAGAGCATTGATTGGGATAACATTTAGCTTCAGATCTCTGCTGTACTTACCACTGTGCAGATCCACTAAGGCTGATTCATTTGGAAGTTTCAGTAGGGACATGGTGTGAAAGACATAGGGACTTAGCTGACTATCCATCGGCATAGGGGAAATAGGTAATATAATTGTCAAAAAAGCAGATGTAATCTTAGCATGCATTAAATGCAGGCATATTTTTTATCACATGAAAAGTGATAATTCAATGCTACCCAGATTTCTATATTCTGCTGGTCAGATTATAGGTAGACAGTTCTGTTTGATTCTCAGAACCTCACTGAAAGAGGAACTCAGACAAAATACAGCATTTTCAAAAGAGATTCACCAGGATAGGGAAGGTTTTGAAAACCAGGTACCCAAGGAACAGATGAAGGAATTAGTGACAGTCTGGGTAAGAAAAGATTTGGCAGGGAGAGGAGTAATAGGGAACAACTGTCTATAAATATTCAAAAAGTTGTACTGTTTTGACTTGATTAGTTTGGTCCCAGAGGGCACTGCACTGAAAGTATCTCCTTGAACTTTCTTTATCCCCATTAGTGGAAGAAAAAATTCCCCCAGGATACTGTGAAAATTGGCTGCCCTTTAAGGAAGGTGTTTAAGCAGAGTTGGAACGACCTCTTGGTTGAGGCAGATGAGTAGCTACGTTAGATGATTATTACTACTCCTTCTGACCAGCAGTTTATATGATAATAATAGTTTGGGAACCATCCTTTACACAATATCAACTTTCCAATATTAAATATTGTTTCATTGTAGTTGTGGCTAGGTATTATGGACAGTAACTCATCAAGGGTGAGACTTATACTGTCAGCTATTTACACAAAGAAGCACCAAGTAAGTGTGGTTTGGCCACTGATGGCTGAACTGCCTGAAATCTAACCCAAATTGCTGTAGGTTCTGCTCATGGTAACCTTCCATTTAGTGTCTAATACACAGCTGCAAATGATTTTACCCTACCGTTTAGAATTCTGCAGAGTGGGATAACCCACAAGAGTATGACAGAGGGTTATAGCATCTTGTGTATGGTTCCCGGGATGTATACATGACCTTTCTCAATGCCCTGGCCAAATCTAAGCCTCTATACTACTGCAAATGGTATTTTGAAAAATAAATATATTATTATCCTAGATTTTGTAGTAACATAAAAGAAGCTAATTTTATCTCACTAGGTACACTGTGCCAATAATCTCACCACCAGTATCTCTCCCCCAGATTAAAATGGTATGAATATTAACCACTTTGTATAAAGAATGTTAACAAGTGTTTGGCATTGTGACTATAACACATTAAACTCCAGAGATAGTAACATATATTCCTTCCAAAAGTCAGTAGTTCTACCCTTTTGAAGACTGTCTTTTTCCATCACTCTTGTTGAGCTTAGAAGCCAAACTATGCAGTGGAGACTTGTTCAAGTAATCCAAATTCACTTCCCTGCATTGCCTCTGCCCCATCAAACCTCATTTGTTCTAGCTTCCTTCTGTTCCACTGCATTGCATTCTGACTGAACAAGGTGAAGCTTTGTAAGTATTTCCACTACTATGTGTTGCTGCCAGAGCTTTTAGAAAGAAATCAGGTTCAAATGAAAAGCAGCAAATGACCTGACGCTTGTATTATAGTATAGGATTATGTCACTCTTTAATCCTTCTTTTAGAGTAATGTGTTTGACACTCAAATGTAAGCATTTCCTCTTGGATCTGTGTCTGATCCTCCCTGTTTGTGTTTTTGCAGCATCCCGTGTACTGTGTAAATGTTGTTGGGACCCAGAATGCTCATAACCTCATCACTGTCTCCACTGATGGCAAAATGTGTTCCTGGAGCCTGGACATGCTCTCAACTCCACAGGTGGGTTTGTTTTTCCCTACACATAACACCATCCTGGTTAAAAGACATACCTACTTAATGGAACATAGTTCCTAAAAGCCAAACCCTCACATCCTAGAGGAGCTAAAACCAATGGATGCACTTGAAAGACTAGGGCTTGCTTTCAGCAATCTTCTCTTGAAGCCAAAACCCATTTCCTTTACCACAAATCATGTAATTATTGTAATACATTAATCCTTAGGTCAGTTTCAAGTGAAAATGAAATAATCCATTCTAAATCATAGTAATTATGGAAGTTACCTATGGTATGAATTGTACTTACCCTACAGCATTGTTGAAGAGATGCAAACGAGGTTGGAGCTCAGCAGAGCAATCCCTTATGGGTACTTGCATTGGAGGGAAGGTAACCCAGCAAAACAGAAATCCAAGCTCTTGCTTGTATCCGTGGCCTAGACAACAGCCTGTGTCTATGAAGAATTTATCAAACCATCTGTTTTCACCTCTGGAATGTTTGTTAGTATGGCTCCTGTCATTCCTTGCTCAGTAAATGAGAAGTCAAAAATGAAAAAGTTCCCAAGTCTGCAAACCAATACTGATTGCAACAATGGGAACCAAACAAAGGAATAGAAGTGGGAGAGGCTATCAAAGGGAGGCGACTAAATGCAACTTGCAAGATATGTGTATGTAGACAAACACACAAGACATATGCATACACACATGAACACATACACACACACTTTTCCATATTTCTTTGTGTGAAAAAACAGTATTCACTATCCTGCAGCCAAAAACAACAGAGAAGAAGTCATTGTAGCCTTTGACCAAAATGTAAGGAAACATGAAGAAAACTGCAAAACGGTATCTAGGAGATAATTCTCAATGTTAACATTCCCGTATTCTTTCCCAGGATAAAAACCCTAGAATGTCTGTCACACAATTTTATAAGAAGTTAAAGTTTCAAAATGTACATAAGGAGACAGGGCACGGTGCTTCACACTTGTAATCCCAGCACTTTGGGAGGCCGAGGTGAGAGAATCATTTGAGCCTAGGAGTTCAAGACCAGCCTAGGCAACACAGCTTTAGTTTTTCTACCAAAACTTAAAAAATTAGCTGGGTGCGGTAGCATATGTCTGTAGTCCAAGTTCCTTGGGAGGGTCAGGCAGGAGGATTGCTTGAGCCCAGGAGTTTGAGGTTGCTGTGAACTATTATCTCACCACTGCACTCCAGTCTGGGTGACAGAGTGAGACTTTGTCTCTTCAAACAATAATTATTATTTTATTATGCACACACACACATACATATACAAAAGGAAATATGGAAACTGAAGAACCAACCTCCTTTAAGTTCCCACAAAATACAGATGTAAAGAATACTAAGTTTTTAAAAATAATTTTAGGAAGAAAAAAGAGAGAGTGCTAACAAGCGGCTTACAATTGAAGTTCCTCTATTTTTGCTGATCCTTAACATTATAGAGGCCTGGAGGGATTCGTATTTTATGGCTTTGTCTTAAAATTCTCAGCAATGTTTTGTTTTCTTTTAAAAGCCTGGAGATTATAAACAGACATAAGAGCAAACCCTCTATTTAGGAATTTTTAATTGCCCATTTTGCTCATTACACCTATTTGTTTAGGTTAAAACCAGTCGTATGTTGGTTCTAAGTCCATTTGTATTAGTTTTAGCATGCTACAGACTCCTGTGTCTATACAAAGATGGAGGATTTCATGACATGGTTTCCATGGATGGCAGGGAGGAATAGGGGCATCTAACAGTTGTCCTGGTTTTTGTCTCTCCCAAATGGGTAAAGGGACTTTTCCTTCCTTGTTGCCAATTTTAGCGGTGAAACAGATCACTGGATGATCCAGTTTTCTGTATGACATAGTCACAGCATCCTCTCCCTTATCCCAGTTGCTGATGTGCTCCCTATGCATGGATATCACAAACTTTGAACACGTCACAGGATCAGAATTTGTCTGTGCTGCTTAGACTGTTAGCTTGCACTTTCAATTTAATGGACTCCTTGGCCAAAATGGTCGTTCATTTACACAAGAAAGACTAAACTCTCAAGCAACTGTAATGATATGATACCTCGGAATGATTTTTTAAAAAATTATTTCAGACACACAAAATAGGCTATTTGATGTAAATAGCCAGAAATACTCAGGGATATTAGTTATAATTGATTATTCTTTTCTGTCATTAAACTTAATCAGCAGTATATCTTTTAAGATTAGGAATCTTTAATTCTCAATTAAAAATCATAGTATATAAAAGAAAGACTTCCATTTGCTATTTTAAATATGTATTTAAATGTTCTTTTCAGGCTTATAGCCTATTCACCCAATGGCTGCCCTGCATGAAATCTAGTCCCTGTTGAAATCTGGTTTTTATGACCTGAGTGGCAACTTTCTGGTTTTAGTCCATGGAGGACACATACTCCTGCTTTGATAAATGTGCTTAGTACATCTGATATTAATACATGTGTATTGTCACGAACAATTGATTTTGAAAATGTTTGTAAATACAAGGGTATTGTGTGTGTTATGAAAGCCTGGAGCTGACAAGTGTAACCATTACAGTATTATCTTTAGTTTCTGCACCATTAGTTTCAAAATTCTCACCTGTCATCTCTGCCTGACTTAAGAAGCAGCAGCACATGCTGATGAAATCCAGCCGGCCTGAAACCAGAGATCCACAGAAGCATGAATGTCAGGGGCAGTAAAGCATGGTTTCTGGCACAGCCGGGGTCTTTTGTAATGCTGTGTGAAAAGCAAACAGACGATTTAGCCAAATGATTTTTTCCGTGCTATCTTTGGCATGGCAAGGAGTTGACAGATGGAAATGTAACCACACCATGTTTTGGTAGGAGAGCATGGAGCTGGTGTACAATAAGTCCAAGTCTGTCGCTGTTACCGGAATGGCTTTCCCAACAGGAGATGTCAATAACTTCGTGGTTGGCAGCGAGGAAGGTACAGTCTACACGGCTTGTCGTCATGGAAGGTGATTTTCTGTTTCCTTACTGATGACATGTTCTTCATTTCCGAAAGTCTGTTATCACATTCTGGATTTTAACCACCTTGCATTATGAGAAAACATCTCTGAAAAAATGGAAAGCACAACTTCAAGTCTTCATTATCTTAAAGAGCTACATCTGCTCTGGTCATTAGCTGTTCATAAGTCTATGGTGGTTCACACTGCCTTAAGGGAAAACCACTGAAGCTTCTGAGTATATCATAAGAGACCACTGGCACCTTCCCAGCATCTCCGCATACCTTCAGGGTCTAGACATGTGCCCATCAGAGATAACAATCCCCAAATATTTCTTATCCCTCCTTGCCTCATTGAGTTTGTATACTCAACTTCTTTTACCAGGTCTAGCACTTCTCCCTTCTTGGCCTGGTTAATTCCTCCTCCTCATTCAAGAGTCAGCACAGAGATCATTCCATGTGAAACCTTTCCTGACTCTTGAGCAAAGAAAACCACTCCCACTTTTAAGTCCCATAGAATTTTCATTTATTTTATTCATTCACTCTTCCAAGGAATATTTACTAAGAACCCACCATGTGCCAGGCACCATCAAAAGGATACATTAAAGAACAAGACAGACCTAGAGTTCATATTCTAGTTGAGGGTAAACTACTAATAAGCAAACAAATATATAGTTTAGGATGATAAGTGCTATGGAGAAAATTAAAGTAGAATAAGTGGGATAGGACTATAGGCTATCAAGTTGACAATTTCATATTTTTTTAATGCTTCTACAATGGCATTAATCATATTTTAGTTTATTCATTCATCTGCCATTTTTCTTGTACTACATTATTTCCATTTCATCTTTGATTTCCTGCACAGTACCTAGGACATAGTAAGTGTGGAGCTAATAATATATATTGGGGATAAAGAAATGATATATAATATAATCCATACAATCTAGAGAAGTGCCTTAAAACCCTTCCTCCCAGTCAGAGGGATCAGAACAGAGTGAGTCACACAAACCGCCATGCAGTTCCCACGTGATAGATAAGAACTCTGCCTTAACTGAGAGATTCACAATGCCCCTGGAAGAGAGAGTTGTCAGTATAAAGTGGGATCCAATAGTTTGGACTAGATTGTAAAATTGCATGCAAAACTTAACAGTTGACCTCACATCTTTTGAAAGGGTCACTATGTTCACACCGGTGCTTAATTTCTGTTTTAATTTAGTAGTTCTTGTTCCATTTATTTATTTTTTTTCATCTCTTGCACTCATCCCAGGCTATTAAGATTTAATGAAGAACCACAAATTGTTCCAAGCTCATATCCCTGTGTTTCTGTGATCTGTAGAAATAACAAGCATCCATGGCTCAGCTGTGTGACTTTTTCCATTCAAACTATAGAAGCTGTGATGTCCCTCTGTTCTGCACATAGAAACAAGCAGTATTTGCCCCCTCACATGATTCAAACATGACTTAGGAAGATATGCCTCACAGTCAATTCCCAATGATCCTCCTTCATAAAAGCTGGCTAGAACCACACATTAAAGCTTTATCAAAGCATAAAAAAATTTGATAAAGTTATTCATTTATAAATACATTTGTTGTATGCATACTTTGAGCAAAGTGCATTGTTAGGTGCTACAAGGCCTGCAGACGTCGTGTAAGCCTGGTTTCTCTCTTCAAAAAAACTGATGACAGTGGGAAAGATAAATACACAAACATCTGGAACATGAGTAGAATGTCTTAAGTGGCACTAGAGGCATAGAGAGTATAATAGGCCAGACCTGGAGTCACAGCTTTATCTATATGTGTATTAGAATCAACAAGGCATAGGTTCAGTTGACTTAACCCATGGTTTTACCTAGGTCCTTAATTATCTGCGAAGGCTGTAGAATACATTCATTGTTAATTTCCAGATTTTTTTCATTGCTATAAAATGAATAACATTTTACATGATGAACATTCTTGTTCTGTGGCTATTGTACTTTTTAAGCACTATCAGAATATACACTTTGGTTCAAAAGAAGGGTCCCTGTGGCACATACCACAAATCTTTTTACAAGCTTAATTTTGCTTTTACATTGGTCCATCCATCTGAAATAGAAAATACAGACCTTAGTAAAATTGTAACATAGCAGGCATTGGCTTTGTAGTCATTCTAAATGGGTCATATAGGTCTATGGGGGAGAAGCAGGGGATTGTTATTTTTCACCTAACATAGAGAAGGTGCAAATCCACTTCCATAAATTAAACAAGGTCCTCATTTTGCACCCTATAAACCCTTTCAGGATGCTGTTAAGAGCAAGTGGAGTCTCACCAGGGGCTACTTCAAAGATCAGTTCCTCAGGTTCATTAGAACAAATTTAAATGATCATGTGTGGAACTGCTGTTAGCAGTTTCACTGGGCATAATTTTTGAGTGCCTGTTACATGGAACACGCACTGCCACACTTTGCTCATGATTCCAAATTTTGCTAAGCACATGGACATTTATTGGTGCTCCAGAGGCCCAAACGTTTTAATAACTGAACTCATTTTTATTCTTAGTGACATAATATTAGGATTCTACAATTCCTACGTATTTGTCATATTTATAACCTTGTGCACATGAATATTTTAAATACAGCATTTGTGGTATGTTTTCTCACATCTTCCTAATTGTATATGATTGCATGCAGAATACTAAGCGATAATAGAGGACTGCAAATAATACCAGCTTAGTTAAATAAGCAATATTTGTCAGTGTGTAATTTTTTAAATGTCTATCATTATTTCTCAAACGTGCTTCTCTCTTAAAAAAGGACTGAGACATAAGTTTGTCTGTTTTTATATTAGCTAGCTTATTCAACAAATATATTGAGCACTTACTATATGCCAGACACTTGGCAACAAGAAAGACAAGATACCTGCCCATATGGAATTTACAAAGGATTTGTAAATCTCTCTTCTGTTTTCAGTAAAGAGAAAACATTATTTTCTCCGTATTATATTTAAATTATGTGCATTATTTTGTGGTGATGAGGGTTTCCACAAAGTGTTACATTTTTAACTATGTTAATTTAAGAAATTTCCTCAAAAAAAATCATTATTTCTTCAAGGATAGATGGAGTTTTATATTCAGTAGGCTCCCCAAAAGGAGATAAAGCAGAGCATGTACAAAATGCTATCTCAAGAATAAAATAATCTTATAAATATAAAAGCTTCTGAGACCGAAGTGTATTTGTTTCCATTAAAATAACTGCATCAACAATGATAGGCTTTGAGGAATTCCGCAAAAAGAATTAAATAATAAATGTTGATATTAAATTCTGTATTTTAAAAAGATTACTTTGCCCCACATTGTTTTTAAATAATCAAAACTAGGGTAACATATTTGCAAACAATTTCTTTCGGGATAACTGTAAAAATGATTTCATTTTGATGGTGTGTGGTTGTTCTAAATTATGGAGAAGTAATCATGCAGAGTTGAGGGGTTTTTTTATTTTGTTTTGTTTTTTAAGCAATCACTGCTTTTCAGAGGTCACTGGAATTCTGCTCATGTGTGCTTTTCCTACAGCAAAGCAGGTATTGGTGAGGTCTTTGAAGGTCACCAAGGGCCAGTGACAGGAATTAACTGCCACATGGCAGTGGGCCCAATCGACTTTTCTCACCTGTTTGTCACATCATCATTTGACTGGACTGTCAAACTGTGGACCACAAAGGTAAGAATATCTTGACTGAAATTCTCAGATATATTATAAGGGCTGAAGATGGTTTTTCATTCCCTGGAAACAGTTGTCCCTAAAGCCTCTTCCAGGCAACCTGGCACTGGGAACTCATATACCTTCTGGTGAGGCCAGTCTGCCTCAGAGCTAGTCCATTTTACTTATTTATTTTTATTTTTATTTATTTATTTTCATTTTTATATATTTATTTTTTTGAGACAGTGTCTCACTCTGTCAGGCTGGAGTGCAGTGGCCCGATCTTGGCTCACTTCAAGCTTCGCCTCCCGGGTTCACGCCATTCTCCTGCCTCAGCCTCCTGAGTAACTGGGACTACAGGCGTCCACCACCACACCAGGCTAATTTTTTTGTATTTTTAGTAGAGACAGGGTTTCACTGTGGTCTCGATCTCCTGACCTTGTGACCCGTCCTCCTCGGCCTCCCAAAGTGCTGGGATTACAAGTGTGAGCCACCACGCCCAGCCCATTTCACTTATTTTTAAATGTATAGGTAATACTTGAAAACATTCTAATTATAAAAAATTCAAGCAATTCAAATAATGATAAAGCTGCAGTCCTCCTCTACCAACCCCAACCCCATCCACAACATCCCCTTCACTGCCTGCACCTCAGTCCCCTCCCCAGAGGCAAACTTTTATCAGTTTCATGTCTATGTTCTGGAACTTGGTGGTATCTACTTACTTACATATGTACCTATGGAAATATATGATTTGGGACTTGGGTTCTTTTTTTGTTTGGTTCGTTGGTTGGTTGTTTATTTTTATTTTGAGCTGTTGGAGGTTTTTAAGCTGATAAATGACCCTATGTTATGTTTTAAAAGGTAATTCTGGCCAGGAGCAGTGGCTCACATCTGTAATCCCAGCATTTTGGGAGGCTGAGGTGGGTGGATCGCTTGAGGTCAGGAATTTGAGACCAGCCTGGCCAACATGGTAAAGCCCCATTTCTACTAAAAATACAAAAATTAGCTATGTATGGTGGCACATGTCCGTAGTCCCAGCTACTCTGGAGGCTGAGGCAGGAAAATCGCTTGAACCTGGGAGGCAGAGGTTGCAGTGAGCCGAGACTGGGCCACTGCATTCCAGCCTAGGTGACAGAGCCAGACTCCATCTCAAAATAAAATAAAATAAAAGGTAATTCTGTCCTTGCTTGAGAGCAAGAAGAAAAGCAGAGACCACTTGGAAGGAAGGCGCAGTAATCTAGGAAAGAAATAACGTTGACTTAAACCAGTAGTCTGAGATAGAGAGAAATAAATGAATTTGAGAACCATTTAAGAGATAAAAGCCACAGAAATTGGTGATTGATTTGATAGAAGGAAGGTAGGAGAGGGAGTCATCAGCAGATAACCTAGGTTTATGACCTGGGCAGCTGGTGAGTTGTAGCATTCACTGCACTGGAGAACAGCAGGGGAAGAACATGCTGGGGAAGAGCTTTGCACATGCTAAGCTAAAGGTGCCCGGGAGGGGCATTCAAGATCTCACTTCAAGAGCTCCATTAGGCAGTTTGATATGTGAGTCAGAAGAAGAAAGAGACCTCCCAGCAGCCTGTACGCACTAGAATAGCAGTGATCTTCACAAGTGAATGTATTTTTTTTTTCTTTTTTAACACGGTCTCACTCAGTTACCCAGGCTGGAGTGCAGTGGCACTATCTTGGCTCACTGCAGCCTCTGCCTCCCAGGTTCAAGTGTTTCTCCTGCCTCAACCTCCCTAGTAGCTGGGATTCCACAGCATACACCACCACGCCTGGCTAATTTTTGTGTTTTTAGTTGAGATGGTATTTCGCCATGTTGGCCGGGCTGGTCTCAAACTCCTGACCTCAAATGATGTGCCCACCTTGGCCTCCCAAAGTGCTGGGATTACAGGCATGAGCCACACACCTGGCCCAGGAGTGGATTTTAAAAGAAACACTAACATGCAATCTGGAGGGAGAGCAATACTTAGGAAATAAACGGGAGAAATTGAACTAGAAAAGGGAGATTAAAAAGTAACCCAGGAAATAGAAGACAAATTAGAATTTTCTTTGTGGCTTCATGGGTATTAATGGAAAAAACCATGTCAAGAGGACAGAATTTGCTTTTAACTATATGAAAAGATAACAACCTTATTTATAAGAGAAATTAAATTAAAACCAAGTTGAGAAACATATTTTCAACTATCAGATTGACAAAAATCTAAGTTTTGCAACACACTCTGTGATGAGGCCGAAATAAACCAGCTATTCTCATACATTGCCATTGGAAATGCAAAATGGCTCAACACTATGGAAGAGGATTTAGCAATATCTAAAAATAATACATGTTTTAACAGAACAATTTCCACTTCTGGGAATCTATGCCAAAGATATACTGCAAAAATAAGAAAGAAGACATATGCAGAAGGACATTCATTGAAAGATTACTTGAATAGCAAAAGAATGAATACAACTCCAAAATATCTATCAATAGAGTGCTGGGTGAATCAAAAGTACGGTACCTCCACCCAAGGGAGTAATATTATTGAGGTATAAGAAAAAATGAAGAAAACTTCTATGTACTATTATGGAGTGGTCCCTAAGATACGTTTTTAAATGAGTAAAGCAAAGTGGTGAGAAGTGCAAATAGTATATTGTATGTTATCATTGTTTATAATTATATTAATATATACTTAGAAGTTGAAAGGATAAACACAAAAGTTACTTATAGGAAGACGGGAAGCTAAAAGAAAAAAAATAATAGCTAGCTTATTTGAATATACCTTATTTTTACATTTGATTTCGGAACCATGTAAATATTTTATATAGTTATAAAAGAAAATGAAATAAATTTAAAAATTGATTCCTAAAAAATTTAAAGTAACATGAATCAACCTTAATGTGGTTCAAATGGGTAGCAAAATTCATTAAAGAATGATTTGAAGTGACTTTAAAATGCTGTATGTTTGCTATACATTCCTAACCGGGATATATTTTAACAATTTTTTTAAACTACCAAAAAGAAAAAAAAGATCTAAACTACTTCTAGTACTCATATTGCTGGTTGTCACATTTCTACTGTTATCCTGAGACCTTTGTATTTGTATCATAACATAAGTTAAATTACTATGTTGGTGTCATTGAGAACTGAGATTATCAGCTTGGTTGGAAGGAGATACAGACTCATGCAGTTAAGTAACAATTCTGTAGTAATCCTGAATCTGAGTGGGAAGTATAAGAACTCATGGCATGTATTATCTTTCAATATAAAAGAATACATATTCACTGCTCTGACCACAAAAAGATCTAGGAACAGTGACCAGTTCAATAGCAGTGACCTTCCTGATGCCCAGGATGTGCTCCCCAAATACAAGTTCCACTCAAGGAAACCGGGGATCCCAGAAGAAATTACTGATTGTAGGTGTGGAACAGGAAATGTATAAAATAAACTGAGATTATTTTATTATAACAAGCAAAAATGCTACCAAACACTACAAAGTTTTTGTCAAAGGACTTGGAAGCCAAGTTGAGTAAGCTTCTTTTGGCCCTGACAACATTGATAAGAGTAATAGATTCATGAGTTCATAACAATACTGAAGAAAACAAACAAATAAAAAACCTCATTGGCCACCTATGGAGAATACTAGGTAAACAAACTCACCAGTGAGTAAATGAAAGAATCAAACATTTAGTCTGTCTTTTCTATATGAATTGTATTTCAGGGTTACTAAATCATTGATGAGGGGACATTTTCTTTACAGCATTTCAGCTAATATAGGAATAAAAAATGGGCTGGGCACTGTGGCTCACACCTGTAATCCCAGCACTTTGGGAGGAGATCGAGACCATCCTGCCCAACATAGTGAATACTTGTCTCTACTAAAAATACAAAAGTTAGCTGGGTGTGGTGAGGTGTGTCTATAATCTCAGCCACTAGGGAGGCTTGGGAGACTGAGGCAGGAGAATCACTTGAACCAGGGAGTCAGAGGTTGTAGTGAACCGAGATTGTGCTACTGCACTCCAACCTGGTGACAGAGCAAGAATCCATCTCAAGGAAGGAAGGAAGGAAGGAAGGAAGGAAGGGAGGGAGGGAGGGAGGGAGGGAGTGAGTGAGTGAGGAAGGAAGGAAGGGAACGAAAGAAAAAGAAGGAAGGAAGGAAGGAAAGAAAAGAAAAGAAAAGAAAAAGAAAGAAAGAAAGAAAGAAAGAAAGAAAGAAAGAAAGAAAGAAAAGTAAATCCTACCTTCCCCCATCCTAAATCTAAACAATAATTAACCACCAACTATCTCTCCACACTCCACTTCTTTCTCCCACACCTGAAGTATAGAAATACACAATCAAAGAAAGAAAGAAAGAAAGAAAGAAAGAAAGAAAGAAAGAAAGAAAGAAAGAAATTGAAAATCACCATTTTGCAAATACCATAATCTAGGCAATGATTATTGCTGACAATATTGTAAAAATAGAAACAACCTTTTTCATAATTATGGAAATACACAATACCACCTTTGAAGTAGGCTGACACCCAAAGTTGAATCTGAATCTTATCAATCCTCCAGATCTCTGAATTTAGAAGATACAGATGCAAAATATTAAATAACACCACAGGGATGCAATCAGCCAAACCCAAACTGCTGGCATATCTACAGGACAACTGATTTAGTTTCTGCAACAAAACCAAAACTTTTTCCTCAAGGGCAAATTGGAAGCGGAAACAATGTATTAAAAAAACAGAACAAAACAAAACTTGGGACATTTCAGTGGATCTTAAAATATGGATCTTACATAGATCACGATTCAAACAAGCACCAGGTGAAAAACTTTAGAAGACTACCAGGGAAATGCAAATACTAACTGTATATTTGATGATATTTATGAAGTACTATTTTTAGTAATTTTTTTTTTTTTTGAAATGGAGTCTCTCTCTTTTGACCACACTGGAGTGCAGTGGCACCATCTCGGCTCACTGCAACCTCCACCTTCTGGTTCAAGCAATTCTCCTGCCTTAGCCTCCTGAGTAGCTGGGATTACAGGTGC